GTCTGTGGTAGAAAAAAAAAAACTGCCTGAAACAAGCGTATGGTTGTTCCAGTGAACCGGAACAACCATGGAGCCCGTACCTTGTCAAGCACAAGACGAAGCTGGAGAAGGTTCAAAGGATTGCCACTAGACTAGTCCGAGAACTAAGAGGCATGAGCTATGAGGAAAGGTTACGTGAATTGCACCTCACGTCGGTGGAAGACAGAAGAGTTTGGAGAGACTTGATCACCACACAAAATTCTCAGGAGAATTGACAGGGTAGATAGGGATAGGTTATTTAACATGGATGGTTCACGAACAAGGGGACACTGGTGGAAGGTAAGTACCCAAATGAGATAGAGCATCATTAGAAAGAACTTTTTCAGTGTCAATGTAGTGTTATATGGAATGCATTAGGCAGTGATGTGGTAGAGGCTGACTCCATACACAGTTTCAAATGTAGATATGACAGAACCCTTATATAGGTTCAGGAATCTGCACACCAGTTGATTGACAGTTGAGAGGCGGGACGAAAGAGCCGAAGTTTAGCCCCCTCAACCACAACTAGGTGAATACAGATTATTTTGATTCATTCTCCTTAAACCTTAAAACTGGTCACTCAGTATACAAGAAGTCCAAAACCAAATTAATCATGAATTCTTCATATCCATCTTTCCCATCCATCCAGCGCGAGAGAGAGAGAGAGAGAGAGAGAGAGAGAGAGAGAGAGAGAGAGAGAGAGAGAGAGAGAGAGAGAGAGAGAGAGAGAGAGAGAGAGAGAGAGATAGAGAGAGAGAGATAGAGATAGAGATAGAGATAGAGATAGATAGATAGAGAGAGAGAGAGAGATAGAGAGAGATATAGAGAGATATAGAGAGATATAGAGAGATATAGAGAGATATAGAGAGATATAGAGAGATATAGAGAGATAGAGAGAGATAGAGAGAGATAGAGAGAGATATAGAGAGATATAGAGAGAGATAGAGAGAGATAGAGAGAGATAGAGAGAGATAGAGAGAGATAGAGAGAGATAGAGAGAGATAGAGAGAGATATGGAGAGATATGGAGAGGGGGGGGGAGAGGGGAATGCCGTGTCCTACATAAAGTGTTGATTGTTGAATTTTGGGTTGAGAGATAATTTGCAATTACACCTTCCAGTTTTATAATCAAATTTGGTGTGATTATACCAATTTGGTATATTCATACCAGATTGCTAATTTAATTTACAAGTTTGATTGAGTTCTATTTATTGTGTTTTGCCTAACAATATTTTAAATTTTTATTTTTGCAATTCACTTTCTCGAGCCTAGTCTGATATCTTGAGTGTTGTGTTACTTTTTTTAACATTCTATTTTATGCCTAGTGTGCCTAATTATAATCAACATTCTCACAAAAATTCCAGTGTCATGACAATGCTTACAACTGTTGTAACTCCTGGCTCAATGGAACAGTTGTTCATAATGATGTTCAGCATTCAACGCAAGAGATGCTATCCCACTTTTTGATGGAGAATCTCGCTTACTCGAATCATGGTGTAGCAATGTAGATGCGAAGGCCAAAGCTCATTTTTCCAAGCCTTCTGATGATGACTATTTAGCATTAGCTAGGTCGTCTATCGACAACACCAAAGGTGATGCATGTGTTGTCAATGAGAAAGCCATTGTTAGTCTGCAGTCATGGGCAAAATTTTAAGAATTTTTCTGATGTTTTGTTAACATGGGAGACTTGGACCCATACTGATTAGCAAAGAAATGCCACCATTCAACCTGGTGAATTGTATAAGGCATTTACTAGCCATCTAGATCAGTATGTGTATGCCTTAGAGACTGCAATATTGAGTTCATCATAGGGTGAACAAAGACTAATTACTGACCCCAGTGGCAATGGCCAAAATAATAGCTTTTGGGCCATTAATACATTTTGACCCACGAACACACCAAATCTATCCTAGAACAGCAAAATTTTGGATCTCAAAACAAAATTGGGGAAGTTTTTCTATGAATAATGCGGCAGATAAATTAGCTCCCCCGAACTGCCCAGATGTTGCCACCCCATGTCACTGTTAATGTAGTAGCAAGTCCTCAGCGCCCTCCTCCCACAAACTCACAAAATTCTTGGTCACCGAACCGCACAACTTTTCGTAACCCTCAGTCAAATTTTCCTCCTCATAAGTTAATGAGACACTATAGCCCACGATCAACCACTGCCTCGTTGGCATTGTGGAAAGACCAACCACGTAGCAAAGAATTGCTGGTCCGCACCTAGATCATCACCCCCTTGACAATTTTCTCGCTTTCCTCGTTATTTCAATAACTCTAGGTTCCCATATTGCAAGTATCATCAAGTTGGCCGCCACACTGCAGATTGTAGAGCTCTGCAAAGGTCATCCTCACCTCGTAGCTCCCATGTCAGTCTTGGCGAGGCCCACAGCATCCAAGACAGTATCAGCACTCCTGTAATTACAATAATCAGTTCAATTACAATACCCGGTCACAGATCGCTGGAGCTCAGAATGTTCACCCCATGTCGTCAGGGGAATCTCAATGCAACCTTCTAACCCAATCAAGTTAGCCAGTCCTAGTGCCATCCCCCGTGTATTCAGTAGCTATCCAAAATAGATTTGGACACTTGACAGAGGAGGACACGGACACTAGACCAGTTTTAGACGTTGATGAAATCCGCCTGAATTTGACGCTGACTAGACGCAGACAACCTAGGCGACATAAGTCACAAGCAGTAAAGTGTACAGTTTCTAGTGATGGTCCTCTTGTATCTGCCATTGTACATTGTAGAGTTTTAAAAGTTATTGTTGATTCAGGTGCTAAAATAAATATTGCCAAGCATTCAGCTCTTAGAAATATTGCAAGTAAGCACCCTATAACAGTACAAAAGTCACCCATACCTTTTCTGAGTGGTGTTTCAGGAAACATAATAACAGTTAAGGGGGAAATCGACCTCCCACTCAAGTTAAAGGATATCACGATTTTTATAACATGCCTAGTTGTTGACAGTATCCACTTTCCAGGTGACATATTACTGGATTTGTACACCATGATGGATGAAAATATTGCATTGTTTTCCCACCGTTGGAATATTAGTATTAAAGACAAAGTGATACATTTATGTAGCATGTATACGATGGGTCATGTGTTGGAAATAACCAACAGTTTCATACATCTTTGTATTTTATACAACTTTTGTATTAACCACAAGTAGTTACTAAAATCACTAACTTGTAGATTTAATCATCATCATGATTTAGTAAACATATTGCCAGATTCTTCCTAGTCAGAGTGACGACGCGAGGAACGACAGGCAGAAACATGAATTCTTTCCACATTTAGTTTGATTTAAAATACAGAGTCCTGGGGTCAGATTCACGAAAGAACTTACGCAAGCACTTACGAACCTGTACATCTTTTCTCAATCTTTGGCGGCTTCGTTTACAATTATTAAACAGTTAATGAGCTCCGAAGCACCAGGATGCTGTTTACAACAATAAAAACAGTTGAATGGCAAGTTTTCATGCTTGTAAACTTTTTAATAATGTAACCAAAGCCGTCTATGATTGAGGAAAGATGTACACGTTCTTAAGTGTTTGCGTAAGTCCTTTCGTGAATCTGGCCCCAGTTTATCATTTCTTTTACTAAAAATAGTTACTTACTAATAAGTTTAATTTTGTAGCATACTACTGCTTACTGGAACTCCTTTATTTAGTAGATATTAATCATTCTAGAGGAAATTATTTAATGTAAATGATTTCCCTTTGATTTCCTCGATTAGCTGCATGACTTTAATAAACCCAATTTATGTTACGCGAAGTTATATTTTTACACAGAAGAATTAAATGTGACATCAATACTCGTCACCATCTCTTCTTTCCTTAGTTAATTCTGATATATATAAATCCATTTACGTTCGAGATGTCTATCGAGAGCCGCGCATGCGCAATCGGGAAGAGGAAGAAGATGCTAGAACGTCGCCCGCCACCACGCGACTTGGACGCCATTAGCAAGGAGCAACATAGATCTACGTTTCGATCTTGCTAACTATTTGTATTTCGCTCCCACGACCAGCAGAGCGGTGCCACGTTACTTGGCACATCATGGCAGTGTGCTAGGAACTAATAATTACTCCAACCCACAAGTAACGTCTTATCACGGCAGCTGAGGAAAAAGGATCTGGAATCATTCCTACATCAGTGGACACTCGGCCCGGCAACTAATAATTTTCTAAACTATAATATTGTGCACATGTTTATATTTAGACTAGTTGTCGTTAGGCTGTGTGATTAACAACAAAATATAGTACGTTGAATCTCCAAATTTATTCCGCCCCTTATTGGAATATAAATTGCATAGTTATTTACTAAAGATTTCTGCAGTGGATTCGCCGCTCTGCTACCTGAGGGCGCTGACGTTCGGCCCAGGCTGTCAGTGTTTACCTGTAGCTGCTGCGTGGTGATCGTCTTGTTGACGGTGTGGTGCGGCCATTGGCCGGGGCCTGGAGGGTGTTATGGCATCGGCTAGTGGTGGCCGTGTTCGCCGGGTCGACACCGCCCGGCTTGATTTCTCAGCGCCTGTTGACTGGCCCTTGGTGGAGGTTGCCCTTATGGACATTCTGAAAGTGGAGTACCCTGATCTCTACGGTTTAGAGAAGCTTTCTCCTACCTGGGTGGCGGTGACGTTCTCCTCGGCGAGTGTGTATCAACTGTTTGTGCGCCGCTGGGGTACGCAGACACATGTACTTCCGGATTCTGCTGTGACGGTGGAGGTCTCAGATCCGTGGGGACCCCTGACGTTTGTAAGTGTCCATGGTGCGCCGGTGCAGTTTCCTGAGGATGAGCTGTGCGCTGCATTCCGTCGGTATGGTGAAGTGGTGGGGCACTGTCATACCTGTCTGCATAGTGGGCGCTTGAAGGGGCTCCGTATGGGTGTGCGTACTTTGCGCATGCGGCTCTCTAGGGCTATTCCCTCCCGGGTGGCTGTGTGTGGATTTTACGTGCGTGTGTTTTACCAGGGTCAGACTCGCTCCTGCTTCCGGTGTGGTGAGGTGGGACATTTCGCTGCTGCTTGCCATGCCCCTCGAGCGGCAGACCCATCAGTGTTCCATGGGGATGATTTTCCGCTTTTGCCGGAGGCTGGGGCGCCCTCTGTGGAACCAGGCTCTATGGGCACACTTGGAGAGGTATCTTTCCCTGTTGTCCCTGTCTCTACGTCTGCTGCTGGTCCCTCCGCTTTGCCAGTTGACTCTGCTGTTCTCACGGCTCCTGCTTCACGTGCAACTTTGCTGGTGGCGGCAGAGGTGCATAGCGTCCTGTGTGATGTCTTGCCGTCCAACGCGTGTGGTGTGGGGTCGGAGGGCGGCCCGTGTGCTGTGGCCGGTGCGTTGCCCGAGGCCGGGGGTGGTGTTGCTATGGTGTCTTCTGATGGCCAGCCATGCAGTGTTCCTGCGGCTGGTGAAGTGGTGCCACCGTCTACAGTTGGTTGTGCTGTGCTTCCTGTGGTTGTGCTGGGATCTTCTGTTCCTCGACGGAAGCTCGCTCCGCGGGATCGGTCACACAGCCGTGGACCCCCCTGGGAAGAGGATCGAGGCTTCAGATGGTGTGGCTTTGGCTGGTGCTCCTCCCTCCACTTCTCACGTGGTTCCTCCTCCCCCTTCGGAAGGGGGTCTGGCCATGAGCATGGCATCGGGCTCGCGGCGGCGGAGGACGTGGAGAGGATGTGGATGGTGTCTCCAGCGCCTGGGGAGCCCTCGTCGGGTGGTGTCCATCCCTTGATTGTTAAGGTAGTTCCTTGCCGTTCGTCTTCCAAGGTGCGGCGGGGGGTTGAGCCCGGTGGTGAGGGTGTGGCTCCCGCTGCGGGTGCGGTTGTGTCCCCCGAGGGGCGCGTCGGGTTGGGGGTGTCCTGAGGTTCTCCCGATGGCATCCTCCGTTGTATGTGCGACTTTGAATGTTAGAGGTTTGAATGATCTTGGGGTCCAGTTGGGCCTGTTGGATGTTCTGCAGGAGCAGCGTGTGGATGTGGCTCTGATTCAGGAGCATAATGTTCGCGATGTGTCTGTGTTGCAGTGTTTGAGTGTTCATTTTCATATTGTGCTCAACCCGCCGAGGACGTCTTTCGGGGGGACGATGATGTTGTTTTCTAGGAGGGCTTCCTTCTCCATGCTTCACACGGAGATGGATGAGGATGGGCGGGTTTTGTTTGTGAGGGTTGAGTTTTTGGGGGTTGTCATTCCGTTCCTGACGGTGTACGCCCCCTCGGGGGCGGCGCGCCGTCAGGAGCGGGAGGAGTTTTTTCGGGTGGGGCTTCTCCCTTTCCTGCGTCATGATACGCGGAGTTTGATTTTTGGTGGGGATTTTAATTGTGTGACGAGTGCGCGGGACTGTAGTGGCGCCCGCCCGCATAATGTCTCGGGTGCGCTGCAGGAGGTGGTGCGTTCTTGCGGTTTCCAGGATGCTGCTGTGCTCTGTGGGGGCGAGTTATCCTTTACTTTTGCTGCGCGTGGGGCGCGTTCGAGGATTGATCGGGTGTATGTTACTGGCGGGGGGTGTTCTGTGTTTGCTTTCCACACTGTCCCGATTGCATTCTCGGACCATAGTTTAGTGGTGGTCCGGGTTGGTGTGCCCAGTCAGGTGCGGGTCGGTGCGGGGTGGTGGAAGCTGAATTGTGGGTTGCTGCGTTGTCCGCGGGTTTGTGACCAGTTTCGGGTGTGGTGGGTCGGGGTTCTGGCCCGGCGTTCTGAGTTTCCTTCTGTTTTGGATTGGTGGGAGTGGTGTAAGGTGCAGTGTCGGTTGTTTTTTAGGGTGGTTGCCAAACGTGAGGCTGCTGGGAGGTTTGGGTTGCTGCGGTTGTTCCAGGCGAGGCTTTCGCGGTTGTACGTGCGGTACAATGCTGGGATTGACTGTTTTGGGGAGATTGCGGAGTGCAAGGCGCATATTTGTCGTCTGCGGGAGGAGTGGGCAGAGGGTGTTCGTGTGCGTGCTCGTGTGGGTGAGCGTGTTGACGGGGAACGTCTTTCTCCGTTTCTTTTAAGGAAGGTGAAGGCTGCACGGGACTCTCTTCTTTTTACGGCTCTGCAACGGCCTGATGGGCCCGTTGTTTCGGACACCGGTGGTGTGTTGCATTATGTTCGGCAGGAGTTGGCTGCGCTCTATGAGGAGGTGGATGGGGACGCCGCGCTTGCGGATGATTTTTTGAGTGGGTGCGTTCCAGGTTTGTCTGCTGAGGATTGTGTCGGTTTGGTGGCAGATGTTTCGTTGGGGGAACTTTTCGATGTGGTCAGGTCGTTTCGTTCTGGGAAGGTGCCGGGCTCGGATGGTCTTCCTGTTGAGTTTTATGTTGCCTTTTGGGATGTGTTGGGGGGAGTTCTTTTATAGGTGGTCGGGCTTGCCTTCGGGGGTGCGTTCTGCCTGTGTCTCAGTGCGTTGGGATTGTGCGGTTACTCCCGAAGCCAGGTGATTTGCAGTTCTTCTCGAACTAAAGGCCCATTACGTTGTTGAATGTGGACTATAAGGTCCTGTCAAAGGTTTTGGCTGGTCTGTGTCGCCGTGTTGTTGCATCTGTTGTTTCTGTGGAACAGTTTTGTGGTGTTCCGGGTCGTTCGTTACTGCAGTGCAATGCGTTGTTTCGGGATGTGCTTATGTATGTGTCGGGCTCTCGCTCGTCGGCGGCGATGCTCTGCCTGGATTGGTCGAAGGCTTTCGACCGTGTGTCTTTAGCCTTTGTTTTTCGTGTGTTAGAGCGGCTTGGGTTTCCGCTTTTGTTTGTTCGTTGGGTGCGTATGTTGTACGCTCGGTGTTGCAGCCGGGTATGCATTAATGGGTTCTTGAGTGCTCCTTTCCCTGTGCGCCGTTCGGTGCGGCAGGGTTGTCCGCTTTCTATGCTCCTCTATGTGCTCTTTCAGGAGCCTTTTTTTCGGGTGGTCAAGGCCTGTGTGTTGATCCGCCCTCCCCGGCTGCCGTCTGGTCTTCGGTTACCCATCTGCGGTTATGCGGATGATACCGTCCTGTTTGTGGCCTCGGAGGGTTCTGTTGGGGCGGTCCAGGCCATGGTTGAGAGGTTTGAGTTGGCCACTGGGGCCCAAGTTAATCGTGCCAAGTCCAGACTTCTGGGTATCGGTGGGTGGTCCTCTCGCCTTGTGTGGGAGGGGTCTTGGTTTCCGGTGGTCACCTCTCTTCGTGTTCTGGGGATCACCTGGTTTGCTTCCTACGAACGCTCTTTGGAATATAATTGGGGTGCGGTTTCGCGTAGTGTTGGTGTTGCAGTTGGGTTGTTGGCTGCGCGCCCGTTGACGATTTATCAGCGGGCGTTGCTGGTTACTTGTAAGGTTTTGTCGCGTGTTTGGTTCATGGCTCAGTGTTTCCCCCTGGATCGCCGGCTGGCTCTGGGGTTGGAACGTCAGGTTTATAGGTACGTGTGGTGTGGACGTTACCACCCGGTTCGTCGCTCGACGTTAGTGTTAGCTGTGTGGGTGGGGTTGGTATTCCGGAAGTGTTTACCAGGGCCCGGGCGCTGTTCTGGGTCTCGTTGCGTCGGGGATTGGCGATGAGTGGAGGGCTCAGTGCTTTGTGTGTTTATTATTGTTCGGTTAGGTTTAGTTTCTTGGTGGATTTCGGTGGTTGTCGGGAGGTGGCCTTCTGTACCCCACCTGTTTACTCTTGGGCGGTGGATATTCTCAGGGATGTCTGCTGTTCTCCGGGTTTTATGTCTCTTTCGGTTAAGGTGATTTATGGGATTTTGTTTCGTCGTGTTCGGCCGCAGGCGGAGGATTTATTCCCTTGTTGGGATTGGGGGGAGGTGTGGGCGGCGTTGGGGGCGCGGTTTTTGGCGCCGCAGCAACGGGAGTTGTTTCGTGTGTTACATTTGTCGTTAGCGACAAATAAACGGTTGTGCATGCTGGGTTTGCGCGCTTCTGCCGCGTGTGTCCACTGTGGGTTGCCCGAGACTCAGTTGCACGTTTTCTATTTTTGTGAGCGGTTGAGTGGTTTGCTTGATTGGTTTCGGGATGTGTTGGCCGTGGTTTGTGGGCCAGGGTATAGGGGTGGGTTTTTGCAGTTTTTGTTTTAGTCTTTTCCGCAGGGCTCTCCCTGGGTGCGGAATACGTTATGTCTTCTTATGGCTGACTATGTGTATTGTGTGTGGGTTGGTCGGAGGGAGGGTTATGGGGTTGATAGGGTTTTGGGGTTTTTGAGAGGCCGCTTGCGGTACACCTGGTGGTGGCTGCAGCGTGCTTTTCCGGGGGATTTTTGCGGTTGGTTTACTGGTGCATATGTTCGTGGGGATGCTTTTGGGTGACTGGTCGTGGGTTGGGTGGGTGGGTCTTGTTCCGGTTCGTCTTCGGTCTCCGGCCCTCCGACGGGCCTCCTCGGTGGAGGTTGGGCTGGGTGTGTGTGTGGTTGTTTCGTTTCTGTTGTGTTTGCTCCTGTGGTTGTGTGTTTTGGTTTGGTGTGTTTGTGCGTGGGTGTGGCTTTTATTCTTTCCCTGGCTCCTGCGTGTGCCTTTTTGTTTGCTCTGTGTTAGTTGTGTGCTTTGTGCCTTTTGTTTGCCCTGTGTTAGTTGTATGCTTTGTGCCTTTTTGTGTGCCCTGTGTTAGTTGTGTGCTTTGTGCCTTCTATGTTATTTATGGTATGTGTGCTTGTTTGCTCCTCTGTTTCTGGGGCATGCCTCATATGTATTTTGTGTTACTCTGTGTGGGGTTTGGGGTGTTTGGGGTTATGCTTTATTCTCCTCCCCTTTTGATTATCGGGGTGTTTTGTATTACTGTCCCTGTGTTATGTGTGTGTGTGTGTTTTTTTTTTTTCATTACTTAATGTTCTTTGTCTCTTTCATGTGCTATGTGTTTGCTTTATGCTGATTGTGTATTGTTTATGTATTGTTGTTCTATTCTTTCTTTGATTTGTGTTTGTCTTATGATTTTGTACTCTGTTTCTGATTTTTTATATAAAAAAAAAAAATATCCATAGGACTCTAGTTCTTGGTATCAATTCGCCGCTCTGCTACCGGAGGGCGCTGACGTTCATCCCGGGCTGTCAGTGTTGACCTGTAGCTGCTGCGTGGTGGTCTTCTTCTTGACGGTGTGGTGCGGCCATTGTCTGGTGCCTGGCGGGTGTTATGGCGTTGGCTAGTGGTGGCCGTGTTCGCCGGGTCGACACCGCCCGGCTGGATTTCTCGGCACCCGTTGCCTGGCCCTTGGTGGAGGTTGCCCTTATGGACGTTCTGGGAGTGGAGTACCCTGATCTCTACGGTTTAGAGAAACTTTTCCCTACCTGGGTGGCGGTGACGTTCTCCTCGGCGAGTGTGTATCAACTGTTTGTGCGCCGCTGGGGTACGCAGACGCATGTACTTCCGGATTCTGCTGTGACGGTGGAGGTCTTAGATCTGTGGGGACCCCTGACATTTGTAAGTGTCCATGGTGTGCCGGTGCAGTTTCCTGAGGATGAGCAGTGCGCTGCATTCTGTCGGTATGGTGAAGTGGTGGGGCACCGTCATACCTGTCTGCATAGTGGGCGCCTGAAGGGGCTCTGTATGGATGCGCGTACTTTGCGCATGGGGCTCTCTGGGGCTATTCCCTCCCGGGTGGCTGTATGTGGATTTTACGTGCGTGTGTTTTACCAGGGTCAGACACCCTCCTGCTTCCGGTGTGGTGAGGTGGGACATTTCGCTGCTGCTTGCCGTGCCCCTCGCTCGGCAGACCCATCGGTGTTCCATGGGGATGATTTTCCGCTTTTGCCGGAGGCTGGAGCGCCCCCTGTGGAACTGGGTTCTATGGGCGCACTTGGAGAGATGTCTTCCCCTGTTGTCCCTGTGTCTACGTCTGCTGCTGGTCCCTCTGCTTTGCCAATTGACTCTGCTGTTCTCGCGGCTCCTGCTTCAAGTGCGCCTTTGCTGGTGGCGGCGCAGGTGCATAGCGTTCCGTGTGATGTCTT